GGTCCGGGCACCGTATTAAGGGTATTAAGGAGCTTTACAAATTGTATCTCATTTGTCTTAACAGCTACTTTGATGAGATAGGATATTTATTGCCCCCATTTTATAGCGAGAAAACAGAGTAGTTGACAGGTACGTAAACTGTATAACTAAGTAACCTGCTCAAGGTGACACCGCTAGTTAGTGGCAGAGCCAGGCCTCAAACCCAGGCAGCTGATTCCAAAGCCGTTGTCCCTCCTATTATGCTAGATTGCTTTTCAGGGGGACCCATTCATCCTGCCGCCCACCCAGGGCACAAATGCTAAGTTGGTCTGCTGGCCATGGCAAGGGACATGTTTTTGACCACAGACAATCCAGGTGCACCGGTCCCGGTCATTGCTCCAGAACTCTCAGTAGTTCATGTGGCTGGGGAGAGGAGAAGCGCGTGAATCACTATTGGAATTTGAAAGTTTGTTTTCAAGAAAACCAATGTTTTTAACCCATCTGCCATGTTCTCAGCACTGTTTGTGTGCCATGGAAGAATCAGATAATATAAAATATGGTGTTTACAGTCTAGTTTGGAAAATACGACCCATTTAAAATACTTGAAAATGAACACATCTCTAAATTGATAATACATCCTCCCCAGATGTTACAATGGATTGTAGACCTTCAGCCACTGTGAATACTGGCATTGAGCAAGAAACAAGTTAAAATATAACAATAGTTCAGTACTGGCACATGAACAGAAAGAACCAACCATGGAAAGATGAGAAAGTCCAGAAACAAACCAAACATGAGAAGAAAATATGATGTATGGTAAAGCTGGCATTTCAAATTACTGGGGAAAATGTGTTTATTATTCAGTAAATAGTAAAGGGACAAAGGAAAACTAGCTGGGAAGAGGCTACATCCCCCTTCATTTCTCACTCCAAAATAAATCCAGACAGAACAAAAGGTAAACCATAAAATATTAAATTATAAAGTACCAGAAGAAAACAAAAGAAGTTTTTTTGATATCTTGCAGTTAGAGAGGACCTTCCTGAACAAAGCATCCAAAGCTATGAGGGAAAACTTGATAAATTTGATCACATTAAAATTTGATATCTCTGCATGGCAAAGACATAATCAAAAAACAGAAAATATACAATAATTTTAAAAAGTAGTCAAAGAAAATGATATTTGTTAATATATATGACATATAATAGTCTATTTTAATTTAAAAAGAGATCTTACAATTTAATAAGAAATTTCAACACAAAAAAATGTGCAAAGAACATGAAAAGGCAGCTCACAAAGAAAGACATATGAATGATTATAAACAAATTAAAAAGATGATCAACTCACAAAGAAATGCAAGCAAATAACGGATAACATACAGCATTTCACCTTCAATTCCCAAGAATTAGAAAGTTTGGTAATAAACAATTAACGAGGGTGTAGGAAAAACCCCATATAGCCCTGATAGGAGAATAAATTGGACACAGGCTCTTTTAGAGGGTAGTTCAATGGAATTTGTACCAGTTGACCCAGAATGTATTCTACAGATTCTTTATTCATAGGGCAAAGAATATGTACAGGGATGTTAACTGCAGCATCAGCATAACACATAAAATGCACACACATCAGCAGTGCAAAACAATAATTGAGGCTAAATGAAAGATACTGTCTATAAAGCAATCAGCAGAAAAGTGTGTATGTTATGCTATTTATTTTATTTATATAAAAAAGTGGCGTAGGTATACATATGCTTGTACACGTGCACACGCACACATACAAATGAGTGCTTGTACATGCATTAGAAAATTTCTGGAAGAATTGACTGTAATCTGCAATCAGAGCTTCCCTTTGCCTTGCACTTTCATTTGCATGCTTTTCATTTTCCACCACATGCAGGTATTATCTTTCAAACTAAAAATGTTTTAAAAATATGTAGTATATGTTTTGTAGTGGTTATGTGAATCTATACATGTGTTAAAATTCATAGAATTGTGCATCCAAAAGTACATGTTTGCCACTAGATCATTTAAAAATAAACCCCAAATACATACTGTACGTGGTATAGAGTAGAAGTTACATAATACCTGTTATTTTTTTAGGTGTACATTGATTAAGATAATGTCTTTTATAAAACTTTTTAAGCAACCCTGCCTTTAATGATTGGCTAATTCTTACTGACTGCTTATGTGCCAAGCACTGTTCTGAGCACATAGACCCGCTCAGTCCTTGTAACCAGCCTGAGGTGTGTGCTGTTGTATCTCTATTTTATAGATAAGGAAGCTGAGGCCAGAGAGCCTAAGAAACTCACTCAAGTCTCTTACCTCTGGCTCCAGAGCCCATGCCCCTCACGGGTCCCAACCACCTTCCACGGAAGCAGCTAGATGCATTTGGAAAGTGCCAGAACATAACCAACATGAGCCGTTGCACACGCGCCACAGTGCACCTTGCCTTCTCAGAGCTCATGGGGCTCGGTTCTACTGTGGATAAACCGCTGATTTGACAAAAGTTTCTGTAGAAGTTCTGAGGTGAAGATGAGTTGGCCTGGTGAGGACTGGAGAGCCACATGGATAAGACCAGGACTTGAAGAGTGAGGGATTTGGACAGGCTGAGGGGTGAAGAAGGGCGTGAATAAGGGGGATCGACGTGAGGGGCCCTAAAGGCAGGAGGGAGCTTGGGCACCCCGGGAGGTCATCGGGTGACGTGCATGCGTAAGTGAAGTGGAGATTCATGTTGGGCGGTGGCCTAAGGTAGCAGGAAATAAGCGATCTCAACACCAGGCTGAGAGTGACAAGAGATCAGGTGAGGGGTGCGGGCAACCTCCACCTGCACGTTGGCTCCTTACCACACAGTGACAAGGCAGACAGAGGCTCCGCCAGCAGAGGGCAGTCGTTGGCTCCTTACCACACAGTGACAAGGCAGACAGAGAGTGAGGCAGCAGAGGGCAGTTGAGGGGAAGGTGGCAGGTGAGGAGAAGGTGGCAGGTGAGGGGGAAGGTGGCAGGTGAGGGGGAAGGTGGCAGGTGAGGGGGAAGGTGGCAGGTGAGGGGGAAGGTGGCAGGTGAGGGGGAAGGTGGCAGGTGAGGGAGAAGGTGGCAGGTCAGGGAAGGGGAAGGTGGCAGGTGAGGGGAAGGTGGCAGGTGAGGGAGCGGGAAGGTGGCAGGTGAGGGAGAAGGTGGCAGGTGAGGGGAAGGTGGCAGGTAAGGGAGGAGGAAGGTGGCAGGTGTGGGGCGTGGCAGGCCTCACACCTCCCGCCTCCCCGAGTGGGTGAGCAATGGCCACCACAGAAAGCCATTCGCGGCGCCTTGCCGCCGCCGTGCGAGTCCTGACTTCTCCCTTCTGTTCAGCCGTCACCTGCCCGCCCAACAGCCACTACGAGAGCTGCGTGAGCGTCTGCCAGCCGCGCTGCGCCGCCATCCGCCTCAAGAGCGACTGCAACCACTACTGCGTGGAGGGCTGCCAGTGCGACGCCGGCTACGTCCTCAACGGCAAGAGCTGCATCCTGCCCCACAGCTGCGGCTGCTACTCGGACGGCAAATACTACGAGGTATTTGTGGCCCGCCCGGCCTGTGCTCCTTGCCAGTGAGAAGGCTCCCCTCCAACTCCAAGCGGTGGGTCGGAATTGACCTGCCTTCTCACCCCATTGGAAGAGTGTGGGGCACGTCGGCAGGGAGGTGCCCGCTGAGCGTCAGGTCTGGAAAAGCTCCGGGGCCTCCCCCTCTGCCCTCCTCCCTCTGCACGGGCAAGGTCTCCAAGCCCTGCCCCCCTCCCGCTCCCATCTGTGCTTCTCTCGGCCATGCCCATGAGCCTGGGCCCTGCTGATGTCCTCTCCAGTAAATCTTCGTTTGAAAGCTTCAGATGCGGCTCTGGTTTGGAAGTATGGTGGCTGTGAATCTGACATTTGTAGCTGTCTTAGCTAAGGGCATTTCTAACTGGAAAATATGGAGCTTGAGGCTGGGCTGAGTGGCCTTCCCCCTTCTGGCTAGTGAAGCTCCGTGAGAGTATCTAAGGGCGCCCCCTTTGCGTATGCCATTTGTCACCCTGACATCCTTCCCCAGAGTTCGGTCGGGACTGCTTACTGCCGCGCCCCCACATCCCACCCTCTGTTTCTCTCTCCATGGGGGCTTACACACAGAGCTGATGAAGGTGCCTTTCGTAGATGTTTCTCGGTAAAACATATTAGCTCACTAAATCATTTTGCTTTTTGGACTTTGCAATCTTCCTTTATGTTCCATAATACTAAGCTAGCAAAGGTACTTAGTTCATGGTTCTGCCTCAAGCCCATCCTCTGTTTAAATGACATCGAAACCTTATGTTGGGGAGTTAGACAGTTAACAACTGCAAATTATTGAGTATGTGCTTTTGTAAATCACTATGCTGGTGGTATTGTGAGGGATGAGAAAGCAAGTTCCCTGCCTTAAGGAACTTAAAAATCTGTGCAGAAGAAGGGGGGAGGGGGGAGAAGTACTTTAAGGAACAAAAGAACAATTACAAAATAACATATCAACAAGTGAAAAATAATACCCTGCAGAACTAATCAATTTTAAGTGAAAAAGAAATAGTAGCATGTAAAAGAAATCTAATTAAAATGTCTGAATTGGAAATCAACTAGGCAAAAAATAAATAATGCCTCCTTTTTTGTAAAGATGCATTGACTTATTCGAGAACAACTAAGTTGCCTTTACTTTGGGAATAAATATGACTAAAATGAATGTGGAAGTTAACCTCGATTTCATTTTCAGTGGAAAATTTATTTCAATGCTGTATTAGAAAGACAGGGAAGAAGTAAAGTAAAATAGTAGAATTAATAAAAGAAGACTTCTTGGGAGAAGTGATGTTGAAATGAGCTCTTAGAAATATTGATTATTTGAACGGAAAAGGCAAAACATTCGGGAGACAATAATAATAAATTCAGTTTTCCCGCAACCCCGGGAAAAGATATAACCAGACTGAAAACTCAAAAAGCACTCTTCTAAACTCTGCTCACCAGCCCAGAGATTTACCAAAATGTATCCATCTATCAACTGTGTACTGCACCCCTCGGCAGGGATCCTGAGTGTCAGTGTGGCTTAATGGAATGAGACCTGGGTTTGATCCTAGCTGGAACACCCCTGGGGCCATGACACTGAGCAAGCTGTGTCATTTCCCTGAGCTTCCATTTCCCTATGAGTGAAATGTGGCTAATGGTATCAACTCAGTGGGGTTGTTGTATACATAATCTATGCCAAGTGCCTAGCCTACTACCTGGCACCTGGTTGTTCAGTAATTGGTAGCTGCTATTGTTATTGTTGTTTTGTTATTCTCTTGAGAAACATTTTGTAAATAAAAAATCCAGGCGTGTTAATGAAATGATGCATATAAAAGCCCTTGGAGCTCTCAGGAAAGGCATGGTATATAGCTCTTGGAAGCTATTAGTACTACAGGATAAACATTATTATCAGTTTTTCATCAGGAAGTCAGTGGGTTTTGACAACAGCTTATATCTGGGAAGTAGCAAACTCACAGAACAAATAATCCACATCTACTTGCCACCATTCAAACAAGCTTGGGGGCTTGTTTATACAAAGAATTCCTTTGGAAATAAAAAGAGAACACATCTAGCCATTAGCATGTAGGGTAATCACCCAGCTGTCGTCATGTCTAATTAAGGTAAAGAAAGTGGCATCAAGCCAGCCACTCTGCTGTGATGCTGATTTCATGATGAAGTTCTCCTGTGGATGAGTTATTCACCCTTGATCGTATCCACATACATCAGGTTATTTTTCTCTTTCCACCAATATACTGTCTGACTTCTTATCAGAGAGAGGCCAGACCATCCACTCAGTTATTCTATAAATCTGATAAGAGGAATGAAGTCAATTTGTGAAGCTGCTGGCACCCAGAATATGTTACATGTCTGAAGGGAGAGAAGCCTTGGTTCCAGAAACTGGTTCACTTTGAGGATAAAAGAATCAGCAATAGCATCTTAAAGTGCACTAGACTGAGGAAACTTTTCCTGGAAGACCTCACCTTCTACTTACCTTTGGATCTGAATCATATCCAGAGTTGACATCCAGAGTTTTGATATGTCTATAGTTAAAGCAGAAAACTAACCAGACAGAAACATAGGCCTTTTTGTGCCATTAAAGCATCTTTTCTGAGCAGCACTGTTTGGGCCAGCTGATAATGCATTGAGTGCCCGCATGTCTGTGACACAGTCTACTTGTCAGGCCCACATCCCACGTGGACAATCACTATCAATTTCCAACCGTTTCCTGAATTCTTAGTCTAGCGCAAATGCAAGGTCAGAAATACAAACTCTACCAAGTAGAGTTGTGTCTACAGATTGTTGCCTGTTTGGGGAAGAACAGAAAATAGCAGCTGCCTCCAATTGAGGAGATGCTATGTTGTAGGTGTTTTATAAAATTCCTTCACTATCTGAAAGAGGAGGAGTGGTTCCACTCCTGTAATAATAACAGCAGCTACTATTGATTGAGTGCCTGCTCTATGCCAGGAAACGTGCTTTCCTTTAATCTTCACAACTGCCCTGCAAGACATTATTATCTCCAATTTAGAGATGAACAAACTGACATTCTGGGAGGTTAGTAACATCGCTCAGGATGGCACATGTGGGGAGATAAGGCTGGGATTGAAGCCGAGGTGGTCTGATTCCGAAACTTGTCTTTCTTGGTCCATAGCTGCTCTCTGGATCTCTCACGTTCAGGACACAAAGAAATGAAGCTATTTCCAACAGAAGTAAACTAGAAGTAGACTAGATACAAGGAAAAAGTTTGGAAGGGTGAGAATTGCAAAATGTTTAAATGGCTGATCCTAAGAGTTAGTTACCACTTTCTTTTGACAATCGAAGATTTGAAGAACCAATTTATCCTTCTTGAGTGAATTTAAATTTCATCTTTCAAGTGGAGCTTGTACTTGTTAGAAGTGCGATTCTTTGGTAAAAAAAAAAAAAAGTCTACCAAATAGTTTTCCTGTTCACCTAGTTCCTCTAAACATCTGCACATTCAGGTTGGCTGTGATTAGCTCTGCAGTTCAGCCATACAGATTACAGAGTTCTTGATTGCCACCAATAAAGTTTAAATTGCCTATTGTTTAGCATGGTCGGAATGGCATGGAACTGATGTAGCATTTGAATTGAGGCAGCCTCCCTACTCTACTGCTCGCTGTTGCAAATTCTGCCCCCTTAAAGGCAGGCTAGCCCAGCCTGCCCAAGGGTCCAGGGGGACTGGGCTTTGGGCCGCACGGCCCTGACCACCGCCCGGGCTTAATGCACACTGCGCTTCTCTTCCAGCCCAAGCAGCTGTTCTGGAACAGCGACTGCACGCGGCGCTGCCGCTGTTTCCGGCGCAACCTGATCCAGTGCGACCCGCGCCAGTGCAAGTCGGACGAGGAGTGCGCCCTGCGCAACGGCGTGCGCGGCTGCTTCAGCACCAAGACCTCCTACTGCCTGGCGGCGGGCGGCGGCGTCTTCCGCACCTTCGACGGCGCCTTCCTCCGCTTCCCGGCCAACTGTGCCTTCGTGCTGTCCACCATCTGCCAGAAGCTGCCCGACATCTCCTTCCAGCTCATCATCAACTTCGACAAGTGGTCGTCCCCCAACCTCACCATCATTTCGCCCGTCTACTTCTACATCAACGAGGAGCAGATTCTCATCAACGACCGGAACACGGTCAAGGTGACCAGCCTGGCTTCGATTCTTAAGAAACGGGCCCTGGAAACGAGGGCTTGGCCAGGGAGGTGTTTATTGTGACTCTCCCAGATAACCAAGAGGTGGGGTAATAGGTCGATGCTTCCTACATGCCAAACACAGATGACCAGGTTTTAAAGAGGGAAAGGGTAAAGATTCTACAAGTGTAAGAACGACCTGTTTCCTTCGCTGAGGGTCCCAGGGGCCTTGCAGGAAACTCGCAGGGTCTGGGCATAGTCATGGCTGGCCTGGGTGCTGACAGAGCTTCAGGTGGTGAAATAGTACCTTAGTCAGTTTTACTCCGAGTTAATTTCCAAAAAGCATCTCGTTTGTTTTTAAGAGCCTTTAAAATTGTTCTTGGCTCTGTCAGCCTGTACCAGGACCCACCCTTCATCTCTGCTATCCTTTCTATAAGCTAAGAGAGGGCAAGCATTTGCCTATCAAAACAACTACCTAAATAAAAATCCAATGGAGCATTATCAGGGGGCCCCGTGATGACATACCAAGTGAAAGAAAACAGGAGGCTGAATATGGTGAATTTCTCTTAGGTTGGCTCTTCCATAGGCCCATTGCCTGGTTTCTTCTTAATCTTAGACCTAAATGTAACTAAATGCAAATCTCCCCACGTTCCCGTGACTAATATGGCTCTCTGACTTGGAGTCTTAGCACCCCTTCCATCTAAGAAGATCATCTGCTCTAATGAACTATTGGCAGTGACCCCAGCCCCTCAGCTAAACCAGGCTGCTACAGCAGGTAGACCTGAAGGATGGGGCCAGGACCCAGTGCTGTGAGCACAGATGGGGGCGGTGGAGGGGGGGGGACTGACAGAGAGCCACAGTAACATTTTATGGACTTGAGTGTTATTCCACTTGCTCAGATAATCAGGCATTGAGGGTATCTCTTTATATGAAGAGTGATCCAATAGCTTAGTATCCAGCCTTAGACAAAAGACCAGGAGTGTTATTGGAGCTTAAAATGAAGAATCTAGATTTTAATCCTGGTTTTTAACTTCAATAAAAGCTACTATGGTTTTTGACATTCTCATTCCTTTGGCAAATTGGCCTATATAGACACAATAGTATGAGTCCAGAACACAGGAGCTAGAAGATAAAAGTGTCTATTTGAAAGAGTAAAACTGACATTGGTGTTGAGTAAAATACCCCAAGCTAGCCAAAATAGGAAGGACTCATTTATTTAAAACCATATGTGCTTTTTTTTTTTTACAAGAAATAAAAGTTACTAATAACCTGGGGGTGAAAATTTTATTTTGTAAGTACAGGAAAAGCATGTCATATTCAGTCCCAAGAGCTAAGAAAAGAAAATGTTATAAAGCAGGAAAATGACAAATGCAGAAAATACTGTGCCTGTAGGATGTCTGGGGGGACCTCCAGTTTGAACATTATGAACAAGAAAACGATAAACATGGCAATGATCCCCAGATTCATTTTAACTGTGTTAGACTCTCCTTGGTGCAGGATTGGGATTTCATTTTCAGTAATTGGCTCATGCTGGGGAAAGTTTTATGCAAAAATCCAGCCATTCATTTTGTGTTATACTTTCCTAATGGTTTCTTTTCTCTCGCCCTCTCTCTCCCACTTCTGCCACATAGTTTGCTTTGTTTGAGGGAACTGTGGACAGGAAGATGAGTGAGTGCCCTTAAACTCTAGGGTAGGGGATGGCAAACTATGGCCTGCGACCAAGTCTGCTTGCTGCCTGTTTTTGTAAATAAAGGTTTGTTGGAAGATAGCCGTGATCATTTATTAATAGTTACATATTGTCTGTGGTTGCTGTCATGCACAAGGGCAGAGCTTAATAGCTACATCTGAGACCATAAGGTCTGCAATGCCTAACATATTTTCTCTGGCCCTTTGCTGAAAAAGTTTGCCAACCCTTGCTCTAAGGGGTAATCATTTCCTTTTTTCCCCTCCTCCAACAGGTGAATGGCACACAAGTGAATGTCCCATTTATAACTGGTTTGGCAACCAAAATCTACAGCAGCGAGGGGTTCCTGGTGATCGACACCAGCCCTGACATCCAGATACACTACAATGGTTTCAACGTCATTAAAATCAGCATCAGTGAGAGGCTGCAGAACAAAGTGTGTGGCCTCTGTGGGAACTTCAACGGGGACCTGACAGATGACTATGTGACTTTGCGGGGAAAGCCGGTGGTGAGCAGCGTGGTGCTGGCCCAAAGCTGGAAAACCAATGGCATGCAGAAGAGGTGAGAGTGTCCACATAGTTCCAGCCACCAGACTCGGTGGCCCAAACCCTCCCCCATCCGTGGGAGACATAAACGAGGAAAGTGCTTTCCTTAGCACTGTCCCTCTTCTCCTGCAGGGCTGAGCCAAAGGCCTTTGGAGCTCTGATGATCAGAGGCCCCAGTAATTTCTTGAACTGCAGAGGAAGGAATTAAGCTTAGACAATATGACTCTAAATGTTCATGTCATCTGGCCCTTGGCTAAACAGAAGAGCGTGCCTAGGATTAGAACTCTGCAGCCTTGACCAGCTGCCCACCTGAGACCGAGGCACCCCTGCTGGGGGTGGAATTAAGAGTTGACTCAGAAGAAGAAGGGCTATTCTTTGCTCCCTCATGCTAGGTCTAATTGTGTGTCCTTGACTCTTACCAGAAGGCTTGGTCGTGGTCATGTAGGTTGAAGTTGGTGAGAATCAGGAAAGCCTTTTTAAAATTATTCTAAAAGTCAGGAAGGTTATTATCAGGCCCACTTCCCCTGGCCAGCAGAGTGATCTAAAGTTATTCCAAAGGTTTTTAATGTAGGGCCCCTCTGGCCTGGCGAATGATGTTGACACCTCTCTGGATCTCTTACCTGGTATTTCTTTGCTTGTACAATGGCTCGATTCCCTTTTGCTTAAATAGCTAAATACCCAGTTGTAGAAATGGCAGTCCTGCACTTCTGGAATTTAGAATTTCTGGAATATGATACTGAATAATGTATCATATGTTAGACTATCCTGTGAATTATAAGACCCAGAGCTGGGAAGAAACTTGGGCAATAGCTTATCTAATCTCTTCCCTTCCCAGGTGAAATAGAAGCTAAAATAGCAAATGATTTACAGGAGGAGATCTTGTAAGTGGCAAAGCCAGGACGAGATTCCAAGATTCCTAATTTGATGCTGTCTCTAGAATGCCACGCCTTGACCCACAGGGAGAAAAAAGACAACTTTGGACATTTAAGCCATTCTGGTGTTTCCAAAGATAAGCAAGGCTCAGTTCCCCCCCAAGAAATTATGATTCCATTTGAACTTTTCCTCCTTCCTTCCTTTTCTGCCTTCCTCCTTTCCTTCCTCCCTTTCTGCTTTTGTAAACTATCATCTGTCAGATACCAATTTTCTTGTAAATGTTTTTGCTTTTGGTGCTTGATGGCTAAACTGTGTTTAGAAGACTTGTGGACTTCCTTTAAGATCTTTAATTCCACCAAACTATCATTACTATTATTGTTGTTATTGGCTATTCCATCAATACCTGTTCATGGTTATTGGACCAGTTATATCAATCAATTACACAAGGTGCTGTTATTATATCAACATCTGCCTTTTATGTGGCACTTTGGCTGCCAATCCATTATTTATTTTACCTTCATTGTATTTCAGTGATGGAAACAACAAGAATCACTGCCTCACGTTTCACTTCCTTAGAGGGTCAGGTAGAGAGACTGGTAGGATCTGACTTCCCAAAGGTCACATAGCTAATCGGTGTTGGAATTGGCACAGTGCCTTAACTCCAAGGGTAGTAAAACAGGTGGCAGATGTGGGTTACCTTCCCCTGGAGATCTCGGACGGCTGTTTTTGCTTCACTTCGTCTGACCAGACCTCTTGCCCCCAGCTGCAACGAGCTGCAGTTCTCACAGTACACAGCCACGTGTGACAATGTGCACATCCAGAAGATGCAGGGCGATGGCTACTGCCTGAAGCTCACCGACATGAAGGGCTTCTTCCAGCCCTGCTATGGGCTTCTCGATCCCCTCCCCTTCTACGAGTCCTGCTACCTGGATGGCTGCTACAACCACCAGAAGTTCCAGTTGTGCGGTTCCCTGGCCGCCTACGGGGAGGCCTGCCGCTCCTTTGGGATCCTTAGCACCGAGTGGATCGAGAAGGAGAATTGCTGTAAGAGAATTATTTTATTTCTGTGGATTCCTTTATAAGTGAAAAGAACAGCTTTTGCTGGTAGCGTTGCTTTGTCTAGGGACGAGTGGCCCTCTCCCTCTTTGCGCATAGATCTCTCTGGGATTGGAGAGAGTTTGAGCTGCAATGGGGGGCCACTTTGGTGGAGCCTGGCCCACTGGTAGTGCTCGTCCAGTTATGGAGTTTGGAAAACCAATGGGCAGATGAGGTTCCCTGGGCTGGAGGGGCACCAGTGTAGGGACTTAGGAGGCAGAGGGACGTAGTGTGGGATTCCTGATTGATTTTAGTTCCCAAACTCAGTTCTACCTTGGCTCCTTTAACATGAGTCAGATCCTGTATCAGAAAGGGAAGGCATGTGGCAAGGAGCAAGCTGAGCTGGAATTGCACTGTCTGTATCTACCTGGGTTGAAAGGAAGCTGCCATTCGATTTATAAGGGGATTATATATATTTGATTGCATATATTTGATTAAAAGATTTTTAGATTCTTTTATTTTTTTCTGTAGTAAGAAAATTATTTTGATGTTTATTTCCGTTATTCATTTTCTTACTATGTTAATCAAATAAATGGAGTAAGTATAATATATATAAACATACAAATGGGTCAGGCTGTGCATGGTGGCTAATGCCTGTCATCCTAGCACTCTGGGAGGCTGAGATGGGAGTATCACTTGAGGTCAGGAGTTGGAAACCAGCCTGAGCAAGAGCAAGACCCCATCTCTATTAAAAATAGAAAGAAATTAGGCAGACAACTAAAAGTAGAAAAAAATTAGCTATGCGTGGGGGCACAAGCCTTTAGTCTCAGCTACTCAGAAGCGTGAGGCAGGAGGACAGCTTGAGCCCAGGAGTCTGAGGTTGCTGTGAGCTAGGCTGATGCTACGGCACTCACTTTAGCCTGGGCAACAGAGCAGAGACTCTGTCTCTAGAAAAAAAAACACACACACACACACACACAAATGAACAAATGGGTCATAAACATATATGTCTGTCCATATACATAAATGGTCATTCCCATTCATGTGACCAACAGAACATGTTTTGTACCCTGACACATAAAAATGACCCAGTGTGTATACAGGTACTGCTATGAAAACAGGCTCATTTTTAGACTGTACATACACATTGGCAAACTTGCAGACTACACCCGATCAAGTATAGGAATGAACTTAATTCAGAAGCTTAAAACAATGTAGTTAATTAAAATATGTATCAGTGATTTCAGAAACTGTTACCAAGCAAATTACTAATCTCTGTTGGAAATTAACAGAAATGTTTTGTATGATAATTGCAATATTTTACTCTGCTATGTCAATAGGCAATACTTTAAATAACTTTAAAATTAACTGTTTTGGACTTTCAAAATAATCTGGAATTTTTTAAAAAAATATATCATTTTTGTTTAAACCTCAAAGCTTCCCTCTGATTAAGGGTATGCCTAGTTTGCCCTTTGGCAGATGGACCACCACATTTGCAAATGAGTGTTTCCCTTCTCGTGGACTCTAACCTCAGCACTCTTCTTTCTGCTACTCTCTTTGGTCATTTTCAAACCTTATTGGTCGACCATAACATTCGCTGAGTGGCTGCTGCATGCTTAGCACTGTGTTAGGTTCTGAGCACACTGGGCAAGTGAGAGGGTATTTATAAAATGAAGCTTTTTAAAAGTGAATGATTTAGATGGTGCTGAAGGATTCCTTCAGTTGTCTTTCCAGAAATTAAGCCAGGCTGATGCTAAGCCATCCATGTACTTCCACCTAGTGACCCTTCTGGTCAGTACCAGAGGGGCATGGTGGCCAAATCAGGGGAGCTATGTGGAGCTGTGTGACAGCTTGGGATTTTTGTTTTGTTTTTAAACTTTCTCTCTTTCTCTCTGCGTGTATGGTGAGAACACTTAAAATAAACTCTCAGCAATTTGCAAGTGTACGGTATATTGTTACTAACTATAGGATCTGTGATATACAATAGATATCTTGAATTTATTCCTTCTATCTAACTGAAATTTTGGATCCTTTTTAAACTCTTTTTTTAAAAAATCTCTTGAAGCCAACTTGGCTCCCGCTGGGATTGAACAGTTGTTTCTTTAGCACTAACCATCATATAGCATGATGAACAGGAGGATTGTTCTATCTTGATAGGAGGAGAGATTCTTTAAATAAAGAAATGAGTATCTAAAAGAAGATGCTCCCAGCTAGTGGTTCTCAAACCGAGGCGTTGAATATCTTACAGGTAGTCTCATCTGTTACAGAAATATTGTTCGTAATAACATGATGAAGATACGCCACACACAACTATATTGTACTTATAGTTTTTTACCCTTTTGGCAAAACAGTACAATGAATCTAAGTCAATGCTGGCAAGTTGTGTAGAGGTTTTTGGTTTGTCTATTTTTATAAAATCAAGTAGAAGTTTATGGGGGAAAGTGGACCATGAATCAAAAAGGACTAAGAAGCCCTGGCACGGGGACCTCTCTGGGATCTTACTGGCCCTAAAATATTCATTAATGACAAATGTTTATTGTGCACCAGCTATGAGGTGGCTGGATGCTGGGAACATAGAGATAAATGGTTTGGACCCTACTCTTTATATAAATGTCAAGACACAAATGCGAGCAGGTGGAATGCAGCACAGTAGGTCATTCCATCAGTGATCGGGTACACCTTGGCAGTTACGAGCTTCTGTGTATTCGATCTTCACCGCTCACCTTCACCGTGACCTTGGGCAAGTTGCACCTGTGAAATGGGGACTATAATAGCTAGCTTGAAGGGTATTTGTGAGGGTCAAAGGAGATAATCCAGCTAAAGCATGAGGCACAGTGCCAGGCCCATAGCAAGCACCCAGTTACCAGCTATTGCCATTATTTTCTGGAGGGTGGCCCTGCCTGTCCTACTGCAGCTGCCATCTGACCATTTCTGATTTGGTACAAGTGGCAAGTCCAGAGTGGAACCACACTGCTACCTCGCGTAGGTGTGAAAATCAAGTTGTGCGTGTTTTCTGTGTGTTTTCCTTTTTAGCAGGAGTGGTTGAAGATCCCTGTGTGGGGGCGGACTGTCCCAACAGAACCTGCGAGCTGGGCAACGGCGGGGAGCTCTGCGGCTGCATCGAGCCGCCCCCCTACGGAAACAGTGAGTGACAAGTGCCACCTCCCCACCCAGAAAGGCCCAAAGGAGAAGCCTGGCAGTGCATAGCAAAGCGCCAGGCGAGAACCTTGACGCATCACCCTGTGTAGGTTACAAATCCAAATAGCGAAGCCTTCGGGAGCATTTAAGCAGAACAAGGAAGCGCTCCAACCTCTTCAAAGTAGGGGGATGTTCATTTCCTCATAGCTCCATCCTTGTCTTCAGTAAATTATAACACATAAATGTGCACATGAATGGAATTGGCCAGTTCCGTCCGAGGCCACGTTCAACATCAAAGAGGTCCATATTGATCTTTTGGACACACAAGGAATTAAAGTGGTTTGACGCCAATATGAAAGAAATAGGGTCAGGGTGCCAGATGCCTTAAGGCTCCTTTAAAGCCAGCTTTATCTAGCCCAGCGCTTTTTGGTCCTTAAGAGACAACTGAAATGTTTGAAGCAAGCCATAAATAACTAGGACTGTAGGTCTTGTTCCTAACTGTAGCTCCCTTCGGGTAGAGATGGCCTCATCCATATCGGCTTGAAGCGGAGCTGCTTTGCTGCCTCCCAGCTCCGCTCCTGTTCTGGAGCCAAGTAACTCAGAGGCATGTGCTAAATTTAACATCATTCAAAAATAAAAGCCTAATTGACTAAAAGGCTCCACAGGAGGGGACAAAGGCTTCACCTAAGCAGATAAAAATGTTTTCCTCTGTTTCTGTAATGCTTATTAGCTGGTGTTTACATGTACAGAGAAAATGTCAATTGGTGCATCACCATGTCAGAGAGCAAGTTCCTAGTGCTCACCTGGGGATCTCTAGGAGTTCTTCTGAGCTGATTCAGCCAGGGCTTTGAGTGTGGCCTGGCCAGTGCTGCTATCCCTAAGGACACGCTCTGTAGCCAGGCCACAATGGGCCAGATTCTGTACGGAGCTTATAGAAAATAATCTGCCACCAGTGTCAGGGAGGGGTGGTGGGGGGGAGGCCTGGGTTTCTAAAGAAAAGACAAAAAAGACATTTTATTAGCATTTCTATCTTTTAAAAAAGGTTCTGTCTATGCTTCGAATGAATGCGTAAACTCATTTGGTCTGATCCAAGTGTAATTAGAAATGCTACAGCCTTTGAATTGAGATCATTTGCCTCTTCTAAAGGAGAATGGTGATGAGATGCCTCACCCCCACCCGTGCAGCAAGACTCCCACTGATTTGCCTTTCATAATAACTGTTCCCACAGACTCATATGACATTATTGATGCAGAGGTGACCTGCAAGGCGGCCCAGATGGAAGTGTCCATATCTAAGTGCAAACTCTTCCAGCTCGGCTTCGAGAGGGAGGGCGTGAGGATCAATGACAGGCAGTGCACCGGCATCGAGGGGGAAGATTTTATCTCCTTCCAGATCAACAACACCAAAGGGAATTGTGGAAACATTGTGCAGGTGAGAACACGGGACAGCAAAGGGCACCCGGCAGAGGCAGTGACAGCCCCTAGTGTCTGCACATTTATTGTCCTTAAAGCCAACGTTAGGGTGATCTACTTAAAAACGAGCTCCTTGGAGAACAGCTAAAGGCATGTGCAAAATGAAGGACAGCAAGGGCTTCGTCCTTTGGTGCTAAGCAGTTGACTGAATGGAGAGAGCTCCATCGGTGACGTGTTTCTTTCCTTGGTTTGTGATGCCTGCCGATGTCCTTTGTCTGGCATGTGGACAGAATTGTTGTTACTTTTCTCTTGTTTCTATTGTAAATGCAGCTGGGCTTAGCTATTTTGGGGGGTAAAGGAGTCCCCAACATCATTTAACAGTTGAGTGTTAAAATACGTAATATAAACATATAATATTATATATATAACATAGTGAGGTCCCACCTTCTAGTGTCAGATTATCCAGCATGTAGGTTAGCAAAGCAGCATGCTTCTCTCCTTTCTCCTTCCTGCCTTGTGTCTTTTATTCATAGCTCTATTCATTAACACTTTTTATCAGAAGGTGAAAGGAGTAAAGAGGTGAAACTGACACTTCTTCATTTGGGTCCATGTCTGGTAAAAGATTTGGTGGAGGGAGTTTAACTGAGCATTAAGGAAGAAGATTTCTATTACCTTGCAATGGCAGTATTTCATGCTGTTCCTAGCTTGGTTTCCCACAGGTAACTGGCGGCTGGTTGTAGTTAGAATTCAGTGGTAGATGAAATCACCCTCAGTGGACATTCAAGGTTATCACCCTGAAGGGTGCTCTTGACATCTGTTGTAATACTTTTCTTAACCCTAGTAAATGCTGAGGCTAGCACCATACTGATTTATACTGGCCTCTGCATTAGATATGGAATGAAGCCATTTCTCTACTTTCAGGGATATGGATTTGAAATGCAAGCCACATACTCACCCCCAGACTTAATGATTTCTGACCTCCCCTTGCTCTGTAGTCCAATGCCACTCATATCATGTACAAAAACACGCTCTGGATCGAAAGTGCCAACAACACTGGCAACATCATCACCAGGGACCGCACGATCAATGTGGAATTTTCGTGTGCTTATGAGCTGGATATCAAGATCTCCTTGGATTCCGTTGTGAAGCCTATGCTAAGGTAGAGGGTCTCCTGGGCTGTGCACGTTGCTTTTTCTTTTCCTTGACAGTTAAGGTTAGCCTAATCAAAATTGCTAGCGTTTGTCTTTGATGTCCTAGGAAAAACATAATTCACATTTCTTGAACCTAAACACTTTAGACCAGCATTGTTCAATACAACTTTCTATGATAACAGAAATGTTCCATCTGTACTATCCAATACTGTAGCTACATGTGGCCACTGAGCACTTGAAATGTGGCTCAGGGGCTGGGGAAAATGAATTTTTCATTTCATTTAAGTTTAATTTCCCCATGTGGCGAGTGGGTACCATAGCGGATAGCACAGCCTTAGACCTCACTGCCGCATGCTTTGCCTTCCCTCTGCATTTTCAGCTTGAAAAATGGTAGATAACTGAATAAATATAAATTGTTTTGGGTTCCCTGCCTCATGATTGTTTCCCTTTTAGTGTCATTAACCTGACAGTTCCAACCCAGGAAGGCAGCTTCACCACCAAGATGGCGCTCTACAAAAATGCCTCCTACAAACACCCGTACCGCCAGGGGGAAGTCGTGTTGACCACCCGAGATGTGCTGTATGTGGGGGTCTTCGTGGTCGGAGCTGACTCCACGCATTTGATCCTAACGCTCAACAAATGCTATGCCACCCCCTCCCGAGACAGCAACGATAAGCTCCGGTACTTCATCATTGAAGGAGGGTGAGTAGCCTCTTACTAGAAAACAGCCTCAGAACCTTTGGTAGGATATTGTCTACATCATTTTCTAGGGAAGGGAATGGGAACTAATATTTGTTGACTACCTACAAGGCCGGCGTTTTGCAAAATCTATGAATTCACCTAATTTTTATAATAACCTGGGGTGTAGATATTATAAGCCTTGTTTTACAGACAAGATCAAGAAACTTGCTTAAAATCACACAGCAGTTTAGTAGCAGAGTCCCCAAGTTCACGTGACATTAACTACAAGATGCTTTGTTCTCGATGTGATCAGAGAGGGGGTTTCTGTCTTGCCTACTTTGAACTTCAATTTGAGAGGAATGTGGAATTCTACAAATGAAAGTATGTAATGAGAATAACTAAAGGTTAACACATAGGTTATCTACCAAAATAAAAAAGAAATTAATAAACTCAACAAGTTTCTTTTTACTCGACATTATGTGCCCATCGCCTAGTATATTTCCTCAAATATAGGTGGTTACACAACAGGATTTATTGAATGAAAGAACGAATGAATGGGAAGAAAAGACTAAAGACTAACTACAATAAGAATAATTATCTTTACTTTTTAAAAACATTTACTGATTATGTCAGGCCATTTACACATATTTTATTTTAAAATAATTCATTTTTAAGAGCTTTATTGTATATATAATTTACGTACAATAAAATGTACTAGCTTTAAGTGTAAAATTTAATGATTTTTAGTAAATTTTCAGAGGAGTGCAAACATCATCATAATCTAATCTTAGAACATTCACATCACCCTAACACAATAATTCCTTTCTCTATTTGAATTTCTTTTTAAGAATGTTTATTGATAATTTTTATTGATACATAATTTTATTTATACATATTTATTAGGTACATGTGATATTTTGATAAATACATAAAATGTGTAATGATGAAATTATGGTATTTAGGATATGCATCCCTTTGAATATTAATCATTTCATTGTGCTGGAAACATTTCAAATCTCTGCCAGCTATTTTGAAATATACAGTAAATTGTTATTAAATATAGTCAGTGACCCTACTGTGCCATTGAACACTAGATCTTGTTTTTTCTATCTAATTGTATGTTTGTACCCATTAACCAACCTCTCTTCATTTCTTCCCACATACCCTTCCCAGCCTCTGGTGACCATCATTCTACTGTCTACCTCCATGAGCTCACCTTTTTTAGCTCCTACATATGAGTGAGAATATGAGATAATGTCTTTCTTTGCCTGGCTTATTTCACTTGACATAATGATCTCTACTTCCGTCAATGTTGCTGCACATGACAGCATTTTATCCTTTTTCAGGGCTGAATAGTATTCCATTGTGTATACGTACCACATTTCCTTTACCCATTCATCCACTGACAGGTGGATTCCATATCTTGGCTATTGTGAATAGTGCTTCTGTAAACATGGGAGTGTAAGTATCCCTTTTATATATTGATTTTCCTTTATTTGGATAAACACCCAGTTGTGGGATTGCTGGATCATGTTGTAGTTCTATTTTTAGTTTTTTGAGAAAGCGCCAAACTGCTTTCCAAAATGGCTATACTGATTTACATTCCCACCATCAGTGTATAAGAGTTCCCTTTTCCCTACATTCTTGCCAGCATTTGTTATTTTTTAACTTTTTCATAATAGCCATTCTAACTGGGGTAAGATGATATCTCATTGTGGTTTTGATTTGCATTTTCCGTAATGATTAATGATGTTGAGAATTTTTTCATATACCTATTGGCCATTTATATGTCTTCTTTTGAGAAATATCCACTCAGCTCCTTTGCCTGTGTTTTAATGGGATTATTTGTGTGGGATTTTTGTTGTTGTTGTTGTTATTGTTGGGTTGAGTTTCTTGTATATTCCAGATATTAGTCCCTTGTCAGATGAATAGTTTGTAAATATACTTTTGCATTCTACATGTTGTCTCTTCACTCTTTTGATGGTTTCCTTTGCTGTGCAGAAAGTTTTTAGTTTATTTTTATTTATTTGTTTATTTTTGTTTTTGTTGCCTATGCTTTTAAAGTCTTAGCCACAAAATATTTGCTAGGCTAATGTCCTGAACCATTTCCCCTATATTTTCTTTCAGAAGTTTTTAATCTTTGGGTCTTACATTAAAATTTTTAAGCTATTTTGAGTTGATTTTAGTACATGGTGAGAGATTGGGGTCTAGCTTCATTCTTCTGCACATAGATATATAGTTTTCTCAGTACCATTTATTGAATAGGGGTGTTCTTTCCCCAATGTATGTTCTTGGTGCCTGTGTTGAAAATAATTTAGCTGTAAAAATGTGAGTTTATTTTTGGGACCTCTATTCAGTTCCATTGGTATGTGTGTCTGTGTTTACATCAATGCCATGCTGCTTTGGGTTAGTATAGCTTTGTAGTATATTTTGAACTCAGGTAGTATGGTACCTCCAGCTTTGTTCTTTTGGCTTGGTATTGCTTTGGCTATTCACGATCTTTTGTGGTTCCATATGAATTTTAGGATTTTTTTTTCTATTTCTGTGAAGATATTGTTGGTATTTTAATAGGGATTGCATTGAATATGTAGATTGCATTGTGTAGTGTGGTCATTTTAACAATAAAGAAGAGAGAGATAAGGAGAAAGAAAGAAAAGAAAAGAAAGAAGAAAAGAAAGCAAGAAAAGAGAGCCTATGTAAATACAATAAATAAAGTGCCAGATATTTGATTTGGGAATTCAAAAGGAGAAGAGATAGCAAAGCATAAGCAAACCAATTATAATAAAATAACTGAAACATCCAGTCTTGCAAGAGATATAGACCATCCAGCATACAGGGGCTCAAAGATCCAAGATTACCAAAGGTCTTCTCCAAGGCATATTATAGTAAATTGGTCAAAAGTCCAGACAAAGAGATAATTCTAATGGCAGAGAAATGTCAAATCATTAAAGAATCCCCCTCAGACTTCCACCGATTTTCAGCAAAACCCTTACAGGCCCAAAGGCCAGAAGAGAATGGGGATGATAATAAGTGCTGAAAGAACAAAACCTGCTAACGCATAATCTATAGTCAGCACAGCTATTCTTAAAAAATGGAAGAGAAATGAGACTTTCCAGACAAGCAAACTGAGGGAAAATTCGATCATAGAAACCCTAAAATGCTCACTTAGGCAAGAATATCTCATCATGAACACAATGAGTATAAAACAAACCAATGGTAGATACAGACACACAAATGAGAAAGAAAAGGAGTCAAATGTTACTGCTATAGGAAACCACCAAACGGCATGATACGCAATAGGAGAGGAAGAAATGAACAAGGATATACAGATAACAGGAACAATTAACAATGGAAAAAAAAAAAAAAATGGCATAAGTCATCCCTATCAATAATAACCTTGAAGTAAACAATAAAGTCTCCACTTAAAACATACTAGACTGGCTAAATGATTAAAAAAAAAAAACATGACCTAACTATAGGCTGCCTATAAGAACTCACTTGACCAGTACAGACACATACAGACTGCAAGTGAAAGGATAGAAGATATCCCACACAAACGAACCAAAAGCAAGGAGAATAGCTGTATTTATATCAGATAAAGTAGACTTTAAGTCAAAAACTGAAAAAGAGACAAAGAAGGTCATTATATAATGGCAAGAGATCAAGTTTAGCAAGAGGATAACAATTCTAAATATGTAGCACCAAAACTGGGCACAAGATATTAACGTAAATATCCTGGATCCAAAGGAAGATGACACCAATACAATAATAGTTGGGGATTTCAATACCCCAATCTCAGCATGGACACATCATCTACTGACAAAAATCAACCAAAAGAACACTGGTTTAATTGCACTTAGACAATGACCTACAGACATTTTATCCAACAGGCCGCAGAATAATCATTCTCATTACATATAGAATTCTCTGAAGATAGACCACATGTTGGCATGTGCAAATTTTTAAAAACAATTTTAAAAATTGTAATCATATCATATTTTCTTGAGCACAGTGGAGAAAACTAATACTAATAACAAGAGGAACTTGGAAGTGTACAATAGATGGAAATTAAGCAACATGCTCTGAACTATCACTGGGTCAAAGAAGATATTAAGGAGGAATAAAACATTTCCCAAAACAAATGAAATAGAAACAACATACCAAACTATGGGATACAGCAAAAGAAGTGCTAAAAGGGACTTTATAGTAATAAACACCTACATCGAAAAAAGTAGAAGATTTCAAATAACCTAATGATGCACCTCAAGGAAGTAGAAAGCAAACAAAACAATCCAAATTTGGTGGAAAGAAAGAAATAATAAGATCAAAGAAAATTAAATAAATAGAGCTTAAAACAAAACAAAGATCAACAAATGAACAATTGGTTTTGGGAATAAAATTTATAATGTGCTAGCTAGACTAACCAGAAAAGAAAGAAGGCCAAATAAATAAAATCAGAAACTAAAAAGGAAATATTGCAGTGGACACTACAGAAATACAAAGGATTATTAGAGATTGTATGAAACAACTATATGCTAATAACTAGAAAACCTAAAAAAAAAAAAAAAAAGGATAAATTCCTGGACACATCAATCTGCTAAGATGGACAGGAAGAAATAGAAAACCTGAACAGACCAATAATGAATAACAAGACAGAATCAGTAATAAAACGTTTCCAACAAAGAAAAGTCTAGGACTGGATGGCTTTACTACTGAATTTTACCAAACTTATAAAGAAGACTAACACCAATTCTTCTCAAATTATTGCAAAAATTGAGAGGACAGATTCTTCTAATATTCTAGGATGCCAGCATTACCTATACCAAAACCAAACAACAACACACAAAAAAAGCAAAACTATAGGCAATATCCTGATGAACACAGATGAAAAAATCCTCAACAAATACTAGCAACTGAGTCCACAACACATTAAATGATAATACATCATGAATAAGTGGGATTTATATGAGGATGCAAGTGTAGTTCAACATATGTACATCAATAAATGGGATTACATCACA